TATATATGAAATTGCTCTTTAAGACTATTAGGCGTTTTGAAAAACCCGTTCTTTTGGTCTAAATTAGTTTAATTCAAGGCCATAATGTCTAACTGGTTTTCTTGCATCCAACTTAGAATTCCATAAAGTTTTGCATTGTCCCCTGCCAATCCGTTAATGTTATGGGTTCCAATGTGGAGTGTAAGGTACAACGCGTCTAAATCTATTTGTTGTTGTTTCTCATACTGTATTCGTTGACTATATAAAAAACTGTCTATATTTTCTATGTTAGCTTTGTTTTTGTTTTTGTTTTTGTTATTCTGTACTCTAATGTTCGACATAAATGTAGCATTGTATAAGTTATTATATTAATGTTGTCCTTTCTATTAGAGCTATTTGTTTCAGCCAAATAGTCCCTTCAATTAATAATTTATTCAAAATATATAATTATTAATTTTATTTATTATTAAAATTAAATTATAAATTAATTTGCAAATTGAAATTTCAAAATTTTAAAATATTGTATTATTTTTTTTTAACTTAATTTCAGTTATATTATATAAAATGTAATATGATTTTATGTTGTAATAAGAATAGTTACTTTAAAGATTATTATATTCAAAAAAAAGAAAATCCTATAATTTAAAACCATTTTATTTTATAAAGGTTATATTAGTAATTACTTTATTTTACTTATATCATAAATTTTTTAAAATAATTATTTTATTAAATTTTTATATAAAGTCAAAAATATTATTTAAAATTACAAATTATAAATAATAAAAATTTTTTTTATAATAAATTCTAAATATTCTATTAAAATTTAGTATAATTATAATTAAATTTTAATAAAGATTCTCAATTTTTTCAAAAATATAATTATTTTTAAAAATGTAAATTTTCAATTAATAAATAATTTTAATTTTTTAATATATTATTAGTAAATAGTAACAATTATATAATATATATATCAATATATATTAATCTAAATAATCATATATTTTTCCTAAGAAAATTTCTGAAATTTTTAAAATTTTGTGCAATCTAAAATTAAATAATTTTATCCCTAAAAATCATACTTTTTGGATTTAAACTGTAGTTTGTATACCCTATAAAAAAAAATTTCTTTAAAATATACTTAAATTATACTTATGTATTTTTAAAATATACTTTAAATATACTTAAAATTGCAATTTTAAGTATATTTAAAGTGCACTTAAATTATATTTAAATTGCAATTAAGTATATTTTAAATGTAATTTAAGTATAAAATTTTATACTTTAAATATACTTAAAATTGCAATTTTAAGTATATTATAAGTACATTTAAAAATTTTAAGTACATTTTAGATATATTTTAAAATATATAAGTACATTTTAAGTATATTTTAAAGAAATTTTTTTTCATAGGGATATAGACATTTAATTAACTAAATAAATAGTTTATTTCTTTTGTATAATATAAAGTAGAGTTCTGAATAGGTTGATTAAATTCAGATAACCTGACAGGTTGACTTGAATTTATCAGATCAGGTTTAACAATTGCAATTCAGCATCAGTAACATCAATATAACCTGATTAACCTATTGACCTGAAAGTTGAAACTATAATATAAATGAGTTATGGTATTATAATTCACTTTTTATATTGATTTTATATAATAAAAGTGAGTTGCAATGTTAGAATTCATTTTTTTATATTGATTTTATATAATAAAGTGAGTTGTAATATCAGAATTCACTTTTTTATATTAATTCTATATATAAAAAATGAATTGCAGTATCAAAATTCACTTTTTTATATTGATTTTATATATAAAAAGTGAATTATTTTATATAAAAAAAGTTAGTTGCAGTATTGCGATTAAGGTTGCTTGCCAAAACCTAGGGGTTTAGGCAAGATGGCGTTTCGCCGAAAAGCGAAATTCTGCTGAAACTATATTAAAGTTATATTAAAAAACTGGCGAAACTTTGGAGAAAGGCGAAACTGCCGAAACTTATTATAAATGCCGAAACTGCCGAAACTCTGCCGAAACTATAATAAATCTATAGTAAAATTTTGACGAAACTAATCGTAGGATTTTGAAGAGGTTTAGACAAGCAACCTTAATTGCGATTCACCTTTTTATATGATTTTAATATAAAAAAGTGAATCACAATATTTCAAAAAAAAATGTTTTGCACCATTTTTTTTTGATATTTTAATAAAAATCCTGAAAATTTTCAGGTTTCAGACTTTCAGTTCAGGTCAGATCAAACAGATAATCTGATATAACTTGACCTGACCTGACCTATTCAGAACTCTAATATAAAGTAAAAAAAAATTTTAGTTATAAGTTATTTACTTTTATTTAATATTTATACTTAAAAAAATTTTACAAGTCTTTATTTATTAAAATAACAAACAATTTTCTGATCTTCAATAAACAATCAAAATTTTAATATAAAATAATAAAAATAAGTTGAAATATATTAAATAAAAAGAATCATACCTTAGAACAAATATTTTATCCAGACAAATAAATTGTATTAACAGGAATACTAAATTATATAAAAAAATATTAGAATAATGGTAATAGTAAAATTTTATATTTAAATATAAAAATTAAATAAAAGTAAAAAACTTATAATTGAAATTTTTTTTTTTTATTTTATATTGTATGAAAGAAAAAAAATATGCTGTACAGTTTTTTTATTTAAACTGTTTATTTGATTTTACATTATTTTAAATCCAAAAAAGGTGATTCTTAAAGGTAAAATTATTTTACTTTTAAATTTTGAATAAATAAAACTGAATTTATAATACAATTGTAAGCAAATTTATTTACAATTGCTTATGATTTAAAAAATAATAATTATTTTTTAATTTTTATATATTACAATATCAAGTTAAATATATTTAAGTATTTTAGTTATATAAGTAATTTGAATTTACTAATTTAAAACAGTTATTTTAATAAGATATTAAATAAAAGTTTAAATAAAAATCTCCATTATATAAAAAATATTAATTATTTAATATTATACTATTAATTTACTATTTATTATATTTTAATTATATTTATTGTATTTATACTTTTATTTTATATGAAAATATAAAAATAAAAAGATATAAAAAAAAATTAATTAATATAAAAAAAATAAAGAAAATTAATTTAAAAAATAAAAAAAAAAGTAAATAAAAGAAATATACAATTGAAAAATATTTTATATTTTTCTAATATTTAATTATTTATATATATAAAAATAATTTATAATTTGACTTTACTAATAAAAAAAAGCAAATTTAATTAAATTTAAAAATTTTAAAAATCAGTTTTTTGCAACTATTTTGTTATTCAATAATTTTAATTTTACCAAAATTTTTTCAATTATAACTATTAATAATTTTGCAAAATAAAAAAAAAAGTTAATTCTTAAATTTTAAAATAATTATAAATAATTAAAAAAGTAAAAAGTATTAATTTTAGTAGTATAAATCAATTATAAATTATATATTAAATGTTTGAAATTTTGTAAGTTGTTTAAATTTATTATAATTCCAATTATTATTAGTATTATATAAATTAATTTTATAATATTATAATAAAGTTAATATAAATTTTAAATAATTGGTTTTGAGTTTTAATTTATAATTTAAAATTAAAACTTTTTTTTATACAATTAGTTTTTATATTATATTTAATTTTAACTTATTTTTTTTTGATTTTAATATTTATTAATTTTATAATTAAATTGTTGATATTGCTTTAATTTGATAGTTAAAAACTAATATAATTAATTGCCGATTCGGATATGATCAGCAGAAATTTGATATAAGAATTTGGGGTAAAATTTCGCCGATCACTTATTGAACACTTCAATATGGCACAAAACGCTTAAATAGTAAGTTTACACAAACTATTTTTGTGCACACAAAAATCATACGATCTAATGCAAAAAAGGCCAGAGAATTCGAATAAGCCTTCGTAAAACAGTCTTTAGTTGTATTTTTAACGACTTTACTATGTACGAACGCTGGATTCCAAGAAAATTATGAAAATTATAAAATATGCATTTAGCAATTTTCCATAATAAAGTAATATAAATTTTGTTTATTTGAAAGGTTTAGACTCCTCAAAAAGTTACGACACCACAGTTTTTTTGTCAACATTGAGTTCTATTTTTCTTAGATTTAAGGATTTCGTGGTAAGTTTTTTGGTGATTACGATTTTTTTTTTTCTTTTTATTGATTTTATTTTTCATCATTAGAAACAGTTTATGTATTCGGAAGTCGGAAATATTTCTATTTAGTTGATTTATTTCATTGTAAATTTTTTTGTGGATCAATATTTAGAAACAGTTCGTCCTCGCGTTGTTTCTCTTTCTTTATGGATCCAAAGTAGAATTTGTTGATTTATCCTTGGATTTTGTGGTAAATATTATTCTAAGGTTCGAAGATGGGAAGGGTTTTCCTTTTTATTCTAGATTTTTTTTTATTTTGTCTCTTTTTATTGATTTTTTTATTTATCTTTTAGTAACAGTTCATCGCTCTCGTCTTTCTTATGAGTTGGAGAGGAAATTGATCTTTTTTGTCCTAGGATTTCACGGTAATTTTTATGAGATTCGGAAGTGGGATCTTTTTTTCTGGGTGTTGTTTCGATTTGTTTCTTTTTTTGATTTTTTTTTTTTATCTTTTAGGAACGATTTGCCTGGAATCCTTTAATTTCGGTGATTTTTTTAGAGGTTCTGAAGTGATCTTTTTTCTGATTTTATTTTTATTTTTTTTTATTGATTTTATTCTTTATCTTTTAGTCCTTTTGAATTTGTTGTGCAATTTGAGAATATTTCGCAATCTTATTTTTTTTTAAATTTAGATTATTGATTTAGGTTCGATTAGATTAGAATTTTTTTTTTTTTTAGCTATAGATTTATTATTATTATTTTCTTTCCACAATCATATATTGGATCGTGATACAAATTATATAGTAAATAAAACAAAAACAAAATTATCTAATTTTATTTGCATAATTGAATACAAACTTATTGCTCAGATGACTCCGCTTCCTCAAGAAGCCTTAGTGCCATGGTTTTCTTGAATGATCGTGACGTGCTTGTTATCCAATTCGCAATTGTGGAAACTTTTGGTACGTCATCTTTGGAAATTTCGTTATCAGTCACTCTTTTCAAAAGCTCCTCGTGCATTTCATTAGCATTCATTTTGAGCCTAGGATTAGCAGTACCAGAGTGAAACATTATAGTAAGCAATCCCTTGACATGTTCTGTGATTCGTTTAGTTGGTACTTTTTGATTCACTTTTAAATTTTCAGATAGTGCCCATCCACAACCAAATACAATGGCACTACAAACAAAAAATATGAATATATTCACGATAATTCAAATAACACTGACGATATAGAGGAGTACAACATACCTTTTTGATATTGGATCAATATCCATATCTTCGATTTGTTCTTCTTCAACCTGTTTAGTGTTTACAACTCTTTTATCAGGTATCCTGACGAAAAATAAACATTGATATGTTTCGTTTTACTTACTTCCTGAATTTCTTGATCTCCTTGGGTATTTTCTGAAAAGCATGATGTTTGTCAATACAAATTAATTACGGAACAATTTTGTTGAAAAAATTACCTTTTCTTGATGTCAATGGTACAGTCCATGATTTTGAAGGTTGTGTATGTG